TAAAAACCATCCCGGTCTCTCTATCCAGTACCTCCTTCTGTCTCAATCTCTCCGTACTAATTCATCACTTGACTCGGCCAATTTCCGTAGTCACAGGCTAACGTACCTAGAAAAGGTATACCAAAATAAAATGGACCCCAAGGGTCAGCAGAGCAATAAAATACAAGAAAACAAAATATAATCAGAAACAAATAAAATAAAATATAATAAATAATTAGACTATTAATAATGTACATTTATTTGTTTTTTCAAATAGGTACAACAACTACTGCTCTGCTGTAATAAACAGTACTTTGTAGTAAATAGATAAACTAACGTATGTCGGTTATTGCATACTGCTGTAGCCTTTCTGCACGTTTACTTGTTTTTCCTAAATACTGCTGTAAAAAGCCCCCCTCGAACGACTACGATCTTCGCTCGAACAGGGAGCTTTTATGTGTTTTACGTGTAGTCTTTCTGTGTGCATATTTGTTTTTCCTAATATATGTATTTTTCTAAATTAAACCAGCAACTACTGTCAACATGACATATTGCGCCGTGTTCCCTGTGCAGGCCACATGTAAATGTACCTACGCAGATGTTTTTGTGCTAAGCACCAACTGGTATCACTGATATAAATCATCAGTGTATAGGCTTAAACAAACTCGAAATAAGTCAAGTACCCAGCTGGTTTTCCTCTACTCACTGTGAAGACTTCAACACATCCCCTTCGAGTGTAGTTATACCTCGAACGGGTAGTCTTTCTGTGTGTATATTTGTTTCTCCTAAGGTTTTGAAGAATCAAGATCAAGATTTGTGTGCCATAAACAGTGGTCTATTTCCGATTTTTGATTCTGCACTTTTTCCGGCAAGACCCACACTCACACCCCCCCCCGCTTCTTCCGCTGTCCGCTGTCCCCTACTCGTAAAAAATTGCGGCTTGGTTAATGCCGATTCATGTGGTGTTCTGCGTCGTGCGTCTGAAACCGTCGCGTCGTCTAATGGGCTTCTTGATCCGTGGGCAGGGAGATGGATAGATAGATAGATCGAAGAGGGAGATGGGGAGAGAGATAGGAGCCACTATCAGCTCCTATTGACCTATCTTGTCACAATAGGTGGTTTACGGAGACCAGTTTCGGCTGGAGCTGCTAAATCGACGGCGCGAATCAAGTCCACGAAACGCGCTACTAAGACCAAGACGTCCGCTCCCGGGACAGACAGGACTATGTTCAAGGCTCTGCATCGTGGCATGTCTAAGGTGTGTATGCACTTTGGTGAGGTTCGGCAGCGTTTGTAGCCACCCCCCACGAGAGACCGTCGCCGATATCTACGTATACACCAACAATGCGAACGTATGTCTTTGTGATACGGCGATGAAATACGACGGTGTAAACTGCATAGTTCGAAGCACACGGGTACACAGCAGTGTGTCTGTGTTCCAAGATAGTAGTGTACAAGCAGATGAGCTGTTGACGTACGAACAATGAAGTATACACCATCCAACCCGCTGACGTTTGTTGGTAGGTGACAAATTTTCCCACAGGGACCTCCCGCCGGTCCTTGTTGCAACAGAGTTGCAGGTCAACATAAAAAAAACAAGGCGTGAACCACAGCGGTAGCTACATGTAGACGATATTCGCGCGTGCGGACGATTGGTTGCTCAGATACGGAGGCTGAGCCCGCATAGTGTTGCACATGCCGGGGAGTCTGTGTACTCTTATCTCCATGAAAGCTCGTGGAACGCCGTACGTCGTGGCGCAGTTGGGCCATGCGGGGGAGAAAAAGGGTGAGGAAGAAGAGCACTCGGAAGACTTCACGAGAAGGGATAAGCATCACTTTGGCTTGGGCGACCTCGAGGTCATGGAAACTTTAGGTAGGTGTTTCTCGCTTGGAGTGTTGCTATGGTGTGATGGTCGAGATACTGCCTAACAATGACTACATGTTTGTCCGTGAACCATCTCCCGATCGCAAGCTGCGTGCCATCAGCAAGCACAGAGTCCCAGGAGTCGTTCCACTGTTTGTACTGTAGTTGAACGACGGCGAGATACTGTTTCGTCTCTTGCAAGCAGTCATGATTTCTGTGATTCGTAGATGGCTCCGCCGCTTTCATTTCGTTCTTGGCTTCTACTTACCCACATCGAAGGCACCGGCACCTTCGGCAGAGTACGGCTGGTACGCCACTTGGACAACGGAAAATTCTTCGCCCTCAAGATATCAAAGAAGGCGTCAATAATACGGATGAAACAGGTGGGTCTTCAGCGCTACAGGGTGAAATATGGACGAGCTAGAGAGAGGTACCGCGCAACTTCACGGGAAATTGAAAGTTTTGCGTATCCACAACCCCTTGAAGTGCACACAAGCTATATGAGTACACGCAGAAGAATAACGTGTCTTGTGCAGCGTTCGTTGCGGGCGTGTTGCTGCTGAGCTTTTCACGATGCCACGCTGCATTGAAGTAACGGTATGTCTGCTCATTCGTCAACAACGCTTTGTACGTGCTTTGGCGCAGGTGGAGCACGTGAAGAATGAGGTGTCACTCCTGAGCATGATCGAGCACCCTGCCATAGTCAACATGTGAGATCTTAGAAAACGAACGCGGAAAAGTGCTCGCATGCGAATGAATCGCGTAGGGAGACTACCATTTCCGGGATCCAGCTGCTAGCTTGTGGTGTGGTGGGAGGACAGGTCTCGAGCCAGAGAGGCGGCGTCATTGGAAAGTGCAGAAATTTACCACACCAAATCTCACGGGCAGATCTTGCAGGTGGTAGATAGCTCTAGACGGTAAATTGTGGCTTGTGGAGCCTGTCTTCAGAAGGGAACGTCTCCAGGTCTTCGTGGTTAACTGCCCGAGAACAGAGTGTAAACAGAGAGTGAAAAAGGAGCGTGGGTCTCTACCCCCAAAGGGGTCTGCATCTATGTGGCAGGTGGGGCTACTAATGAGGCCTTCAGGAATCCCTCTCGGGTGTGAAACCGTAATACCATCACAGAATGCGTCGCCTACGAAGCGGTTGAAGCGGGACAGACGTTTGGGTTGTGTTAGAGCTTGTCTACAAGATTGGAACTGTAGAGCCCATGAAGTAGCCCCCCAGGTACAGACGACTGCACTGCTGCATATTTCATGCTTTGCAGAGCAAATAACAGGCCAGTGTGGCGCTGGCAAGGGGTTCCTAGACAGCGGCGCACGTGTTGCCAGTTGGTCCTGCAACAGTAACTCTCTCCATCCTTGTAATGTGTTGGTGCGCGTAATGAGCACAGCAACTGACCTTTTCCCTTACGAACATCCTCGACAACGACGTGTTGGAACGTATCGATGGACCCCCAGTTATGTGCACGGTCTGTAGGTCACCGCACTCGTGGGTATGTATGGAGAATATGAATTTGGTCAACAAGAGTATAGCGTAGATACGATAGACACCTACCGGCAACAAAAGACGGAAAGAAAGACATCGATAGTGTTTGGCGATAGAAACATTTTTCCTCGAGCATCCAAGCGAACGTATCTTTCTACACAAGCTTTCCAACAAGCTAGAAACAGCCTTCTGTTTTTGTCTGCACTCTCTTTCACCCTATCTATCTCGTCATTCAATGGCACCAAACGTTTCTGCAATATCGAGTATTACACGTAGCAATCTATCGCAACCTGCTGACGTTTGGACACGCGAACCGCGATCTTTTCTCACGTACGCCCAAACACGTGTGAATAGCGAGTATGTCGTGGAGAACGAAAACAACTATATCGCCGGCGCGGGACAGAAACAGTGGAGTCATTTTCTATATTGAGCGTCAGGCAAGCTCGAAGGCAGGGGGAGAGAACGAAAAAAAGACACGTTGGGTGGCCTTCCTCCTGTGTGACCCCGGCTGCTCAATCCAGAACACATACTACCAAGGTACAACTTGGTGTAATGTACTTCGTACTAAAAATTGACCCCCAAAGAGGCGGGACTACGAAAACATGAACCACAACCACTACAACCGCAAACCAGTCTGGAGTATCATATACGGTTGCTCGGAACGACGTCATTACCAACGTCAGGTTTGGCTACTTTCTGGACGACACGAAGCTGTACCTCGTCATGGAATATGTCGAGGGGGGGGAGCTATTCAGCCACTTGCGCTCCTGTGTAAGGTGATGGCATGTGTTAGAACCACCACCGGGGGTACAACATGTTATGGCTGATCACTTTACTTGCTAAGGTGTGCGCGGTGCCGTATAGTTATACCGTATTATAATATAATGTGTCGATCAGGGGGTATTGGCGTTAAGAAGAGATGCTTCCTTTCCCCGTGCTTTCAAGAAAGGTTTAACTTTAGTGCATTAAGAGCAAACAAATGGTGAATCTGCGCAAACCTGATGGATTTACACTGTTGTGAACACTTTGAGCTTGTATCGAGAGGGGATCTGGATTCTGTCCTTGGTGCCGAAGTACGGCTAAGTGGTGCTTGTACTCGTTACAGGATGATGAGTTCGTAGAACCAAAGCAGTAGCAGTAGCGAACCGCAGATGATTGCCCCCCAAGTTCTTACGTGCGCTACTTTCATCGTGTAACGGCTTTTGTTTTACACCCGACCGTCCAACATTCAGATTCCCCGACCACCAAGGGAAGCTCTACACGGCGGAGATAGTACTCGCTTTCTCCTATCTGCATAGTCTAAACGTGGTCTACCGTGATCTCAAGCCCGAGGTGTGTTGAGATTTTGTCCCGCAAAACAAGTAGAAAGAGTGACTCGAGCAACGTTTCCAGAGAGCATTGTGTCGCTATCACCCGTAAAAGAAACTGGAGAAAATCGTACTGAACAGGTCAGATGCAGCCAACGTTTGGAATGGTTCCGTTTACTGGACACACCCAACGTAAGTGGGCCACGCCCAAACTGAAGCATATCTATAAGTTGAGCAATCGTTTACCATGTCTTCGTTTGCGTTGGGTTCCTATCACAACGTTTGCACCATCCCCGTGCCTGGTAGTCTAACTTCTGCGTGTGATTTCCTTCTTTTTTCTAATGCGAGTTGTGCAACGCCGTTAGCGCCTAAACACCATCCGAACTGCATCCCCCCAGTCCGATTACATGCACCTGACTTGAATTGTTTTTCTTGTGAACCAGAACCTCCTCATCACACGAGAGGGGCGGATCAAGGTGACTGACTTTGGCTTCGCCAAAGTTGTCGAGGATCGGTGAGGACAAGAGTGTGACGAAACGGTGCTTCACGAGGAGCAATAGCTAAAATCATAGTGGTCTAGCCACACAGGTCCGTCCTACCAAGTCCCGGGCCATTGTAACGAGTCTAGATTGTCTAGGTGGTGCGTTCTAAACACGGTTCTCGATGCTTGTTTGGCTCCCCGATGTGGCGAGGTGCTTGTCGACGGGTTGTCATGGACGGCCAGCGTTGTTCCCTCACAAAGGGCCACAACCGTGCACACTGTGTTTTCGTACTTGTTCTATCCACTTCTCGGCGCAAGATCTTGGAACTGCCTGCCCATATCCGCTATTTCCATCCTGCGGTTGTATCTTCTCCTTCCAGGACATGGACTCTGTGCGGTACCCCCGAATACCTTGCGCCCGAAATCATCCAGGTCAGTGTACTATAGTATAATGACACTGCTTAGCAACGGAGGGCATCTTCACAGTATCCTGGATGTGTCTGGAGTCATCACCAAAGACCAGGCCACACTCTTTAATGGCATCAGGCAGAGAGTACCCGTTAATATAGCAAAAACTGTCGGCAACTTATTCTCACCGCCCCTTTTTTCATCGTCCCGCTAGAGCAAAGGGCACGGCCGATCGGTCGACTGGTGGGCGCTGGGGGTGCTCATTCACGAGATGCTTGCTGGGTAAGAGGATACGTCTTCTTTGCCACCCGATGCTTTGTATGTAGAATGAACGCTGTTGACCTACAGTACGAGTTGATCGTGCGCTGAGCGTCCCATGCAGCATGAACTGCGTGTCGTGAATCTCGAAACGTAGCATCCTCACGAACGATAAAAATATATAAATGAAATGAAGCTTGAAGCATCGGCAAAACCTATAGGGAGCAGGGACAAGCAGCCATGGGCAGGCAAGTGGTGATTTGGAGGGCGCGGGAAGGCCTTTCTCGGAGTTTGTGATGGGAAGCATTCCGAAACACTTCCCCGCGAGAGACACCCCTTACAGGGTCATTTCAGCTGTGATAGTCCAGAGGGCAACGCATCCTGGTCGCGATTGTAGGACAGTTTTTTAGGGCGAGGTCGCCATGTGTTTGGCACACCGACTTGAGTAGAGTCATAACGAGGGTCCATTGCTTTGGCGCGAAGCATACATCGTCGCCTTTCCGCATGTTTCCCGCGCACAGATTCCCCCCCTTTTATGACGAAAACCCGATCGGGATCTACCAGAAGATCTTGGCGGGCAAGCTGGACATCCCTCGTCATGTGGATAGTAAGGCGAAGGACATCATTAAGCGGCTACTCACCATCGACCGTACCAGCCGCCTGGGTGAGACGGCGCTTGATGTTACAGAAGTAGCGATCATATTTTCACGGCAAAGGCGCCGCGGGTAGTTGTACAGTCATGTAAATACCATCGACCGGTATCTCTTGTTCAACGGCGTTGAAACCCCCATCCAGTGGGCAGGTTAGTTCAATCATGCGTACGTAAGACCATACTCGGGTAGAAAATCTAGAAAGTGGCCAGCCCTGAAAACGGCTTTTCCCAACCAGCAATCTCCACGCCCATTAACGCGTCAAGGTCCAGAGAGGACATTTCTTTGGTTATTGGTGAGGCAGTGAACTGCGTGCTGCACGCACGCTGTGACCATGGATTCAGATGGGCTATCTTGTAAAGTCGGTCAATGCAATACATCCAGTATATCCTTCGTAGAGTTTCTTTTTTTTTCTCTAATCGTTCGCCGAGATATTGGTGGCATCGGGCCACGGCCTCTAGCTGGCGTACTTCGTGCTGCACCTCGATCTTTATCCAAAGAACCCGTCTTCTGCATACCGTGGTGCAATGGGCGTGCTGCTGACTTGTCTTGCGCCACGCTTGACTCCAACGCACGCGGACGAGAACAGGGTGCATGAAGGGGGGGTCGCGGGCGGTAAAGGAGCACAAATGGTTCCACGGCATGGACTGGGAAGCCGTGTACAATGGGCAGGTAGAGTGCTTTGATGCTATATCGGTTACGGTGCAGTCAAATGCTCGAGAACAACCACTCATATTTTTTCGTTCAAGACAGCACGACAACCACAGTGCATCATTTATTTTAGAACCCTCGGCCAACGTACAAGGCGGTTTCATAGTCTGGTTTGATTGAAGAACTCTGCACTGGTGCACCAACTTGTAGCATTCCCTGATTGTACAATTGCTCTCGGGTTACTGGTACAGGTGGAGGCGCCTTTCCTACCCAAGGTGCAGGGACTGGGTGATACATCTAACTTCGAGAGCTATCCTGAATCCGTCGAGGACGACTCTCCGCCTCTCAGCGCCGAAGAAAATGCCCTCTTTGAAGAATTGGAAAACTTTTGAAATAATCTACCATATCTTGTAGCCCACCATACTCGGCGGAACGGCTAGGTCGTACCAATACGCGAGGTTGTGTTTTATTTTGCATTCTTCGAACGTGGAGACAATATGTGTTGTCCTACATAGCAAAGCAACGACACAACTGTGCAGGAGGGTGGGGAGTGGCAGTAGTAGCTCCTACGGCGAAGTGCCGACGATGCAGAGGTGCACTCATCACTTTGTCCGCTAGGGACTAGAACTCAAAGCACAATAGTCCGCTGGGTCGAGTGACGACGGGTGCCGTGCTGGCAATAAATGGAAAGGTACTGCACAATTTTTGCACAGTGCGTAGGATAGTCAACCATCAGATCTCCGACCACGGATGAATCAAGGCCACGTGTTTCGATACATACGCCGCGGAGCCAGTTGTCTCTCCGGAATATGGGCGGAGCAGGGGCGGGCAGGAAGAGGGGAAATATGCAGGGGGAGTAGTACAGATGCGGGGTTATACATGTGCGAACATATTTTTGTGGCAGGATATGGAGAACTCATGGTTGTCCAATCTTCATTCCCCATCGAAGTAGTGCAATAGAGAACTCCTAGTCAATAGTTTTTGTTAGCTTGTAGCTCGGTTTTGACCCATTTTTTTCTTCGGGTTTGGACAGTAGCAGCGAATTGAACAGTAGCTGTTGGAAGGTAGGTTTGGCATGGTACAATACGAGATTACTAGCACTCATTGCACAGGCCAGCAGCAAAACAAAAACATCATGAATCTCGCCCAGATTCCCCGGATGTTTCGAGCCAAGTGCTGGGGACTCTCCATCCATTACCGACACCCCTAGAAGCCCGCATTGGGATGTGTCATCAGCGGTTGCATCAGCCGCTGCCACAAAAACTACAGAAATAGAGTTGGTGCAGGCGCTCCGATTGGGGCCGAGACGAACGGACAGAATGGGCATTGTGACGCCACCATCCCTTAGTTTCGTCCTATCGACGTGTTGATGAATTTTAATTAAGCGTCGTATCCTTGTGTTCCAGAGAAGGGCTGAACTACGTTATCACCAGGTTATCCACTCTCACCTGCGTAGATCATTAGCTCTGTGAGTTCGATTGTAGACACATACCAAGCGTACCGTGATCAACACAAGCGAGCAGGCAGCGGTACTCCAATTATGCACGCGGTTCCAACTCCTCCAATACTCCACTATCCGGTCTGGCATGCAAGGTCAGGCATGGTTATCACTCACAGTTGCGATAACGGTCAAAAGCGCTCAGATCAGGTTCGTTTACAAAAGTTTCGTGCTCAGTTTCCGGACACAAAGGTCATTGACGGCTGGGGGCAGCCGTCAGTCGGAGGAACCGTTTCATCATCGCGCGGGGAATGGAACCAATAGCAATTATTCCGTTAGTTCCAGGTTACATCTGTCGAAAACCCCCATCCGGGCACTTATGGGTAATGTCCCAGTGCCCATCATAGGGACGTGTACTCCGGACACTTGTTCCTTGCATCACAAGTGCCCGTCATCACACTATTTAGAACCGGTGCAAATGGCCGTCCAGAAAATACCCCCAGCATTGACCGTGGTACACGGCTATGCCAACAGGGCGGCCGCACGGTGCCTTAACACGATTCATACTTCCCTGCCCAGGTAAATTCTGGGTCTCCGCCGGTGAGAAAACAAGACGGCGCGGCACTCCTACACGTTCTATCACTACCGGCAGTCCGTCGTCCAGGGTCAGGTAGAAAGGGATGGTCGGGCAGCGACGCCGATGCCCTTATCCATTTCTGACTTCGTAAGCTCCTCCCAATCTCCATCCGGGTACTCCACGCGCCAGTAAGGGTCGCAGCAGTCGAAGGCGGTGGCCTTGAAAACCTTGAGGTGGCCGTCGCTGTCGGCGAATTCACGACCAACCTGGGTACCAACGGGGAAGAGCTGCAGCGCCTGTTCCCTGGACGCCACTTCGCGTTCGCCCCGAGTGGGCGGTCCAGCGGGTCGTGGGGCACCGTTCTCGCCGTAGAATAACTCGTACAGTGCGTGGAAGACGTCCAGCTGGAGCGGCGAAAAGCTGTCGCCGACCTCCTCCTCGGTCGGCCAGGGTGAGAGAGCACCGTCCTGGTAGTGATCTTGGTACTCCCACGTCCACGTCGGAGCGTTGTCGGCACCGCGTACTGCCCGTCTGTCCACTAGCGTGTACAGCGGCACGGCAACGACGGAGATGTCGGCCAGGCCGAGGTCAGCCGACCACATAACGTAGGCAAACTCATCCTCGAACGACAGCCGAAGATCTTGCGGTCGCCCATGGTAGGGCTTGAAATCAGGTGCTGCAACCTTGCGTCGGCGGATCCGGCGACCCTTGAGCTGGACCGCGAAGCTCAGACGGTCGTGGATGACCTCGGTGACTTTCCACGGGCCGATGTAGTGGTCGTGGGTGAGTTCCGGGTGATGACCGTCCCGGTGTAGCGTGGCGGCCGGTTCCTTGACCAGAACGTAGTTTCCAACGGCAGTTTTAGCTCCAGGTGACTCCCGTGCAACTCGGGCGTTGTGACGTTCCCGATGGCGGTTCTGGGCCTCGTGCTGGTAGGTGAGGATTTCCTGAGCCATTCTTTGTTGTTCGACAACATTCCGTTCGAGTCCCTGGCCAAAAGAGTAATCGTCCAGCGCTGGGTGACCACGTCGATATGGCTGCATGGTTCTTGACCGAAGAGGATGCGGTAGGGGGACGCTCCGCCGGGTAGGGACGCGTCGGGCGTAACGCGGTGGATCCAGGTCGCTACGGGCACGAAATCGCCCCACCGCTTGGGCCACGCGGTGCACCACTGGGACAGAGCCTCGTGCAGCCATCCCCCCAACCTCTCAACCGCCCCTTGAGCACGGGGTGGTTGGCAGGACCGTAGTCCAGCGGCACCTTCAGCCAGCGGCAGAGGTGATGCATCACCTCCGCGGTGAACTCGCTACCAGGGTTGCAGCGGATGGAGAGGGGTAGGCCGAAGATGAGAAGTAGCTCCAAGAGTTTGCGACTCACCCCAATGACTTCCTTGAACGGGAGCGGAAAGGCCGTGAGGAACTTGGAAGCTCGGTTGCCCTTGCCAGAAGTTACCTTGAGGTCTTGGACGTCCATTTCGAGCATCTCGCACGGCTGAAGGAGCCGTGCCGGCATCACGAGTAGTTGCTTACTCCAGGCACGCTTCCGCCGGCGGCACTTGCAGGACAGCAGATAGGCTTGGACTTCCTTCTTGAGGGTCGGCCAGTGGTGTTTCCGCTCAATTAAGAGAGTGGTGCGTGCCGTTCCAGGATGGCCGTACGTAACATGGACCAGCGCCAGCACGGCGGAAACCAACCCTTTAGGAACCGCAATTGCGTACGCGCGGTCACGCGGTGCATGTCACAGCAGGCTGTCATTGGCCAGGATGTAGTCGTCGTCCTCTCCTTGTCCTGCTCCCAAGTCGGCTCGGAGACGTGGAAGTGTTGGGTCTTCGTTGCTGGGCCTCCACAAGTCGGGCGGTGTCGCGTAAGGTGTCCTCCATCTGCGCCAGCTTGGTGGAGAGATCTCGTCGTAGCTCCGGTGTGTCCAGTGGGATGTTGTCGCCAAAGAGGGTCTCTTGCGGCGCCGTTGGTGCCGGGGGTGGTGGCGACGGCAGTGACGCGGTGGCCGCTGGTGCGGGGCCGGTGTCCGCGTCCGGTATCGGCTGCAGCGCCGGTGGCGGCGCCGGGCCTGAGGTGGGTGCGGCGGCAGCGTTGGGGCTCTGGTCCAAGGGTTCCTCTGCACCTGGCTCCACGGCATGTGGGGCCGATGGTGGCCAGCGCGTGGGCTCATTCTCACGGGGGCGGCCGCGGCCGCGGCGTTCGCTAGTGCTCGCCGTCTCCAGGGGTGCCGGTGCGGCGGCGTGTGCCGGTGTCGGCCGCACGGCTCGGCGGGACATATCCCTCGTGACCCGAGGGATCACGACAAAGCATGGCTCGTCGACGATCGCAGCGTCAACGGTGGCGATGCCGTCGTTGGGGCATGTCCACAGGCTGGCCAGCGCGATCGCCAACTCGCCGTCCATGCTGTCCCGCTGGTCGGCGTTCCGGTTGACGATGTCGTGGATGTCCAGTGCGCTAATGGATTCCCGTAGCATGGGGGGCAGGGCGAACTCCTCGAGCGTCCGTGCGGCATCGACCGGTCGCACGCTCAGCGGAACGTCGAAGACTGTCTGGGACGTTGTGAGTGCACAAACTCCTCCTGTGACAGGTCCTGTGCGTCGGCGAGGGGTCCGTCGTCGGCGGGGTAGGGCTGGTGCTCCGCCGGTCGGCGACCCATGATGATTCCATGAGTGATGGTGACGGTACGTTGCGCGAAGCTGAAGACTCTTTTGTGGCCGGGAGGGCGCTTCAGGAAGAAGTGGCCCTGGCGTCCCAGTAGCTCACCAACGGTCGGCTTCGTGGTCACCCTCTGCTGTAGGCGTAGCTTCCAGATGCCTAGCTTCGCCGCGTAGGTATCGGTGATTACGCCGGGCTACCACTTAATGGCCACGACGAAGACTCGGTGCCTCCCGGTGGGGACGCCAACATCCGCAGCATATAGGGTGGCATTCTCCACGGTGCACCGGGCCAGCTCCAAGCATGGTCGCAGGCGGTCGCGCCGGACCGGGGTCCGCGAGAACCCCACGAGGCACTCCATGAGCAGGAGTTGCTCTCGAGAAGCGGTGAAGGTCCCAGCGATTTCCGTCGCTTGGCGCGCGACCTTCTCTCCCTAGCCGTGGGCGTGGTATCGGCGGCAAGCGTTGCCGATGAGGACCTCCGTTCGCGCCTCCGTCAGTGTATGCATGCCCTCGCTGAAAGGGGTGAGCGCACAAGGTGGATTTCCTGGCCCTAGATGTTGACATGAGCGCACTCCAACGTGATCCAATCCGGTTCAACTGCGGCCTTGATGTGTAGGACGCCTGGAGAGCCAACGATGCCCCACCAGCTCCTCAGCCGAGGACGACAGCCCGTGGCAGTCTGAGAGCCAAGGCCGACCGTGTATCCTCGTAGTTTCGCAGTCGCTGCAGGTCACCGTCCTTCGGGGCCTCCGGCGTGAGCTGAAGAGAGAAGACGACCAGACTCGTCTCAGGTGCACCGGAGGGCTCGGTGGGTCCTAGCGCGGCGAGAGAAATGCCGTCGAGCACGGGCTCATCATCTCGATCGGGTTGGATGTCTTCCACCGGTTCCAGCGGGGCCGGGTCGCCGTCTCCTTCGTCGGTGGGGGACGCCAAGGTCCTGAGCGGTACACCATCCAGCACAGGTCCTGTGGAGCCTTGGTTCTCCACCGGGCTCGTGGTGTCGTTGGGAAACGCCGTGTTGATTGGTGGCTCCGGGTCCCTTGCAGCGGAGTCTCGATAGGGCGTACGGGGCGGTGTGGTCCTCACCCTTGCACCATTGGAGGTCGATGTCGAACTGCATGAGTCGTAGCGACCACCGGTGCATCTTCGATGAAAGGTTCTGGCTGTTGAACAGGCATGTCAAGGCAGCGCAGTCGGCAATGAGGGTGAACCTCCGGTACTGCATGAACGTCCGGAACTGCTCGATGCCGTACAGCACCCCGAGGACCTCATAGTCTCTCCTCGGTCCGTGTAAACCGATGGCTGGCGTACCCCAGAGGCGCGTTGCGTCCCTCGACGGCCTGGGTGAGCACCGCCCCCGCTGCAAGCTTACTGGCGTCTGTGTGCAAGGTGAAGGGGAGTGCCCAATCCGATGTAGCCAGTACCGGGTGGGAGATGAGGGCGCTGAAGACTGCTCGGAAGGCCTCGGTCTGCGAGGTGCCCCACGGTATGCGGCGGTTGCGGGCTCGGCGTGAGCTGAACGCCGCATCCCGTAGCAAATCTATGATCAGCGCTGTGAGGGTGCTGAAGTTGGTGACAAAGCCGCGCAGGAAGCCGGCAAGCCCCAGGAATACCGTTCCCTCTCCCATGGTGGTGGGCATCTCCATCTCCCGCACCGCCTTGATCTTGGAGGGCGCTGGTCGTACGCCCGCCCGGCCAACCATAACGCCCAAGATCTCCATCTCCGCCATACAGAACACACATTTGTGGAAGTGCACCGAGTACTCCGCCTTACGCACGAGGCCGAAGACCTTCTAAATGAGGGCGAGGTGCTCGTCCAGGTGGCGTTGTATGGGAGGATATCGTCCAGCCATCATTCTCTACCTCCCTCGGTCTCTACGTCGTGAAGGGTGTCCCCAGGTGAGCGGAGAAGACCGCGGGGATGTTCGTAAGTCCGAACCCGCACCTCGCAAACTCGTAAGGTCGACCACGCGCATCCCTCAAGGCTGTCTTGTGGCGGTCGGCCTCGCGGATACTGAGCCGATGATACGCCGAGGGCAAATCTAGGAGGGTGAAGAACTTGCTGTCTTCGATGCGGTGGTGCATGGTCGCCAGCGTGCCGAGGCCCCCGCTGTCTTTCTTCGTGACTGCGTTGAGTGGTCGGTAGTCGACCGCGACACGGTTGCTCCCGGCCTTCTTCTTCACGATCGAGGTACGGCTGCACCAAACTGAAGAAGCACGGCGTACAACACCCGTTTTCAGCCAGAGGTCGACTTGCTTGTTGGCAATCTCAGCTTGAATGGGGTTGTACTGCTGCTTGCAAGCGACCGGTGTGACGTTCTCGTCCACAAGCGGGATCGGCACCTCGCGCCCCGGCAGGGCATCCATAATCTTGGGGTTGGCCGGGAACAACTCTAGCTCATGGGCCTTGCCGATGATGCCGAGGAGCCGGGACCGTGACTGGGGGCCGAGTTGTCCCGTGTTCGCCTCGCTGACGCGTTATGCCTTGCTCCGCGGTCGAGTCCGGTGGCGGTGCGGCGCCCTTGGGCGCCGGCTCCTGTGCCGGCGGCGTCGGCATCGGCTCCTTGAGCAGCACCATCCTCTCCAAGTCGTCGCAGTTGGTGGCGTACGCCCTGGCGACCAGTAGTCTACGCAGCAAAATTGATTAAGCAATCATATGGGATAAAGTATTCAATCCGTGCTTTGAGTTTAGGGTTAGAGTTAGGAATAGGGTCTGCGTGCCCCCTCCCTATTCTTTTTCTGGATACTCTTAAAATCTTGCGTAGGCGGTCCCTGGCTCCGATAGACTTGGGGGCGGTCGTGCGGTTGGCCAACTTGAGCTTCGGGAGGGTGCCGGGTCTCCATCACTGGATGCCTCGGGCCACGCTGATACCCGGTTCGCTCTGGGGGTCGAACACCCGGAGGGGAAAGACGACCAGTAGCTGGGCTGCATGGGGCTGGAGCCCCGGCAACAGGGCATCCACTTCGACGCTGACCCTTCCGGGTACGGTCTGCTGCTCCGCTAGTGTCATCGGCCAGCGTAGGAGCCGCCATCCTCCCGTGCAGTCGAGCCCAAGTCCAGCGCCTCTGTGGCCATTAGCTGCGGGGGTGTTGTAGTTCGCTCGTCCTCTCCTCTCTGCTGCGCCGCCTTGCACCATTCCATCGAGCAGAAGGTGTCCATTGTGGGTCCAGCGTATCAGTCGGCGGCAGCGGGACTTGGTACGATCGCCCCTGTCGTCACGCACCGCCTCCATCCGGTCCTTGCGCCGAGCCCAGCGACCTGCCAACCTGGTACACGGCACCAGTTGTCCCCTTCATCGGGTTGGAGGGCGTGGGTACGGTCCTCCACGGCCGAGGATTCGGTGGGAGTTTCGGTGGTAGTAGGGGCACGCTGCCAGCGTCCGGTGCCGGCTTGAAGGAGCCCGTGCCGGCAAAGTCGATGACCCTGTCGTAGTGTCGCATGAAGGCGGCGCCCAGGATCAGCCCGAACGCAAGTCCTTCCACTACACGCAGTCGTGCTCGGAAAACACGGTCCACTGGTGGGAAGGCCAACGGCAGAACCGCCGTGTCGACGACCGACATTGGCGCAACCCCACTGTCGGAAGGGTTTGGTGCACGAAGCAGCCATCGCCCCCTCGTAGAAACGATGCGTTTGCCATTGTTCTCTGTACGTTCGACGGCCCGGATGAAGTTGTCGCTGCAGAAGTTGCCCCCTCCGGCGCCGCTGTCCTGAAGCACGGTGGTACGTTAGCCCAGATGGTGGCGTATCTTGTTCCACAGGCAGGCGGTGACCCAGGTCTGGTGGGAGCCGCGGGAGGGCCCCGACATAGCGGCCATGGGAGCGACAGCGGTGACGGCCATGCGGGTTGCCTCCGCGATCGGCTCCCGCCCGCGATGGTTTGGTGTGTTCCCCGAAGAGTCCCTCGGAGAGATACCATTCGGGGCGCACTCTCAGGCGTGTTTGCGGCTGTTCCCGGTCGCCGAGTGGGCAGCGGCGGGGTTGGACCACGCCGAGAGTGCTTCCGCGGCGTAGAGGAGGTTCTCGTCGAAGTCCCCAAGAGTCGCAAGGGCCGGCGGCGGCGGGGGGCCGCGTGGGTAGGCCTTGAAGAGGATAGGCGTCTCGGTGTGCAGGTAGGGGCAGTGGTGAACCTCGACCATGCGCCGACATTGCCGTCCGCGAGCGTGGTTGAAGCATATTCTGTGCGCGCGAATGTAGGCCTGGATGTTCTTGGGGTCGACATTAGGGGAGGGCGCGTCCGGCGAAAGCTGGGGTGCTTGCGTGGGTTGCCCCCGCGTCGCGGAAGGTGGCAGCTGTTCGGTGGCGCGGCGGGGTCGCCTGGAGTTTCTCGATGGGGCGTCCGACGCCGCGGTGGGGCGGGGGTTGCGGTCACGCTTGCGGGGTTCACTCCCGAGTGGCGCCGATGCATAGCAGCCAACTCTCTGGTCGCGGTCGCAACGCCCCGAGCCCCGTCCATTGGCGCGATCTGTCTCCCCGCGCTGCGCGGCCTGTGCACCCTTGAAGGCCGCCAAGCTGGGATCGTCCTCGCCAGAATCGGGCGACGAAGACATGTGGTCATTCGCAGGCGTCCTGGCGTAGTCCACGCCTTGCATGGCGAAGACAGAACCGGACTGCCGAACCTAGCGCGAAAAGGTGTCTTCTCCTGACGGTAGTCGCAGCGACTTCGTCTGCAGGGCGGCCATGTCCGTCGGTCGGGGCGCGTAGAATTGGGAGTTCTCGCCCAGGGTGGTGACGAAGCTACCGTAGCGATGGTGGCAGATCTGCCCGCGCCGCCGCATGTGCGGCGAACCCAGCGCGTGCGTGTCGGTGGAGTACAGCTCGAGCACCGCCCGGTTGTTTCCCATGACACCGACGAAGTGGGCGAGAAAAGGCACCTGGTCGACTTGCGGGAAGCACAAAGCGACGGCGTGGTCAAGCAGGTGGTGGAGGTCCTCGACGGTGAGTACCATCCAGAAGTAGTCCTCCTCGGCGAGGTACGGCCGGTCGGGCAGCACCGCCGCCGCACGGGCGAGCTCGACGAGGCGGCTCAGACCGGTCTCCCACGACTCGCCATCCTTGAGGCGGATGCGGTCAAGGGTCTGCCTCGCGTGGCGCCCGGAAAGCCCCTGGCGGGCAACTTCGGACACCGGCAGCCGAAGGGGGTCCATGACGGTGAAGTGCTCGACTTTGACCGAGGCCATGCCACCGTTGAGGTTGTGGACCTGAACGTCATGTCCATGGGTGATGGCGGCCGTCACGGCCATGGTGGCGGGCAGCATGCCGTACAAGATGCCTAGGCGGAAGGTGGTGCGGTCGTTCGGCCAAGGCTTCATCACGTTCCAAGCACCGGCGGCGGTAGGCACGTCCTCCTCCAGCTTCATGACGCCCATGCCCGCCATCCTGAAGGCAACATAGAGGCGATTGCAGAACAGGAACGGGTCCTGGCGGTGGATCAGGTCCGTTGGTGATGTGAGCGGCGGTCCCTGGAAGATCGGCATTCCGACAGCTTTGGGTGAGCCCCCTATCATCTGTATGATTGCAGAGGAGCTGCTGCCGCGGTGCTTGTGGTTCTCCAGGCGGACAGGTAGGCCTTGGCCCGCATTGGCGAGGGCCGCATGGGGCTCCACGACCACATGGTGAGGCGAGGCGGCCCCGGCGTACGGCTGAGGTGGCACATGCCCATGCTGCGATGGACCGTAAATACTGTGGGGCCGTTGTCCCCGGCACCCATCCGGAAGGGGCAGCCCCGGGTAGGAGGGCTGGCGCGCCGGCGGCTGGTATGCTGGCTGCTGGTAGTGGTGCTGCCCTGGCAGCTGTGGGTTCGGCGTCGGACGCTGCGGGGCTTGCAGCTCCTGCTGATACTGTTGGTGTTGCTGCTGCGGCAGTGGTGGCTGTTGTCCTCCCACGGTTGCGCCCGGAGTTCGATTCGCCGTACGTGTGCCAGGCGATATCTGGAACATAAGTCCGGCAACACTACGCAGAAAAAACAGTTCCCTAGCCGATCCTGACGATCCCTCTACCTTTCTGTGCCAGGTGCAGCAATCAGCGTTCAAATTCGATCCTCTTCACGACCCCTTGAGGTTTCTCGAATATTTCGCTTTTCCATGACCAGGTCAGCGTCCAACGAACATGCGCGGAAGTACAGTCGATGTTCCCTGAACAATAACTACATGTGGGCGTGGTCCCTTGAGTTCTTCACACAACAGGTTAGTAAACAACAAGGGAACAAAAAAAATACCAATCTCAGCTTTCCGATTTGCCGATAGCGTGGTCGTGGGGAGCGGGCGAACTATCGCGACAGGTGATAATAATCTAAATGTGTTTGGTATCATTTCCCGAGATCCATCCCCATTGCGTAAGCCTCGCATGAAGGCACTGCCACGATGGAGCTGGGGTGGCCAAGATCCACATCATCATAAGCCCCCCTGTCGTATAGCGCAAAGAGGACAAGCAAGGTACAGTAGATCTTGACAGTCTAGAGTGTCGTCTGGGGAGCGCACAAAAAGTCAAGAGTCAATACGGAGTATTCCCGGAGAATTACGTAGCCACCTTACGACTATGAGAACATCTTGAGATTTGCACCAAAGTGGAGCACCAGCAACGAGCACGGTGTTGCGAAAGGGCGAGCCTAAGCGGGCTGCCCTTGTACTGCGGACAGCTCCTCCTTAATATTATCGAAGTCGGTCTTTTGAGAAGCAAGATGACCATTAGATAGACTTGTGGAGTAGTACAATAGTCTACTTATTTATGTCAGTGGTCCTTCCGACAGTATTCCCTCGGGATGACCGCCCTCTCGATGAAAAATTCCTGTTGTTGGACCTTTCTTCCAACATGCCCGGGGCGGATGCCAAGCGCAGAGTCCGGTAGCTCGTAATAAACCGTGCGCGAACCCGCACAAGGTCAACGACATGCCGCCGTTTTCGCCAGCCGGACTCACGAGAGAGGATTTGTCAAATTCTAAGAGCAGTTGTAGAGTATACACGTCGATTTCTCCGCCATTGCAATCACCACAGACGATGTCTCCGTCGGCTCGAGGATGAGAAAATCACTAAGGACACCACCAATCGGTTCGTGGTCGAGGTTGGTTGTGTTATCGCCGTCTGTGAAAGAGCACCACTGGAAAGTCTTTCTGCGCCCGTCTTGCGAACGTGAAATGCATCTTCCAAACACTCTCGAAAACAGGTTGGGCTGGAAGCCCCAACTGTGGCGAGATGTGACGATATTTGAAGCGGGTTCAGTGTGAACTAGTCCGACCACTGTGTGCAGGTTGGAGCCGCTTCGCTTGTAAAGTCTGTTTCCTTCGTCACCTTCCTTCCTCTCTCAGTCGCTCGCTGTCGCTCACTCCAAGGCAACACTGAGCAAGGAGGAACGCTTGCACATTGCTTGCTACTGCTAGTAATCATTGTACCAGTACCTGACTAAAGTCGGAATACCAGGAATCTGGGCAGGTGGTCGGTATATTCCTGAAAGATATATCCGCCCAGACAAGGGGACACAAAAGAAAATTCCTGGACCCACACTCCCTTTTTTCATTTTGGGCCTTCCGAGGGGGGGGGGGGGGGGGGGGGGGCGTGCTCTTATGCATGCCTTAGCGGTTAGACCATTGACCACGCGTCCTCGAGAGGACGGAGCATTGCTCCCACAGGACCGATCACCGATCTCCAATCGTTCCTTTCTACTTTGCCAAAGGTGGCNGGGGGGGGTACTCATGTACTAATAGTCATGCATGCCATAGTCGTTAAACCATTGACCTCGCATCCCTACAAAGCCGGGCCGGAGCACGCCGGGTTCTCACCGGACCAGGCTCTCACATCACCAAGCGCGAAGCGCCGTGAGATATTCGGCGAGTCGCATGAAGGGTGCGCTGCATCCTGCTAAGGGTGTTCGGTATCTAGTGCTTACTTCCTTGCGTACGGATGACAGCTGCATATGACATAATATATTTTCTGGTGCTTTCACTTCCAGAGACAGTTGTAAGCACTGTGTAACTGCCTCGAGGATGCTTGACCACTTTAGCACAACTTGGTGCGATTATCTCCCTTGCGCGGAGTGAGGGTTCTCGACCCCGCACAACATAAAATCTACTCGACCACCATTCATGGGCACCGCAAAAAAAAAATAAAAAATGCGGTAATGTTTTTCTCGAGCTCACGAAGTGACCGGCTTGTTTTACAACATCGCTGCCAAGCGACGAAAACCCAACCCCGATGGCAAACACCGGGNGCACCGCAAAAAAAAAATAAAAAATGCGGTAATGTTTTTCTCGAGCTCACGAAGTGACCGGCTTGTTTTACAACATCGCTGCCAAGCGACGAAAACCCAACCCCGATGACAATCACCGGAGGGGGGTGGGGTGGGGGTGTACTCATACTCATAGTCATAGTCGTGCATGCCGTAGTCGTTAAACCATTGACCTCGCATCCCTTCAAAGCCGGGACGGAGCACGCTGGGTTCTCACCGGACCAGGCTCTCACATCACCAAGCGCGAAGTGCCGTGAGATATTCGGCGAGTCGCATGAAGGATGAGCTGCATCCTGCTGAGGGTGCTCGGCATCTCGTACTTACTTCCTTGCGTGCGGATGACAGCTGCGTATGACTTAAGTTATTTTGGGGGGTGGGGTGGGGGAGGTATATCTCGTGATGTACTCAAATCATATATGCACATGAACAACGACTCGACACTATTTGCTAAAGTCAACCAAGTCAACCAGAATTTAATTGTGTATGTTTGTAGGTTATGCATTTCTGCGTAATCTACGCTTTAGGCAAGGCATAAGTCGCTTGAACCGTTGCGGGGTGATGCCTGATCCATCTGGCAGCCTCGGCAACGTAGGTAGTCGAGCTAAGCACACCATAAGGCTCTGCCATGAAAGCCCGAGGAGAGCCCTTGGGTGAGCTACGAAGCGACTTGCTGTCATTGCTGAACCTTGTCATATTTTCGCTATGACGAGAACCCTGGTTCACTCTAGCAACTTCGACACGAAGGAACTAGGTGATCGCCTCGGTGCTGCGGTTTCGATCGGAATGACGAGGGTATGCTTGGCGAGATGATGGAGAACAACGACCTAGAAACGGAGCACTCCCTGTATCCCGACGTGGACGGGAAGAAGGTCAGTTCGCTTGAGATCATGCTATATTTCGGAAATCCGTGATGTACTCCATGTTGTGCTGTCCGCCGCTGGAAATCTGTCCAACTTTCGTACAATATATTAAATCCGCCTCTCTCCACTTCGCAAGGGAGAACCCATCGGATTCTAAGGGATTCAGAGAGCCATGATGAAATCCAATGTGCTAAACTTGAACAGATACTTCGAAGGTTGAGATGATACCGATGGCGTTTGAAATAATGCCAACGTAACCACAGGTGCACAAAGCATCAGCCGCACGCATCTTCACTGGACGTCATTCCCACACCGGTTGGAAGGACAGGGTACTTCGCGTGAGGGGGTACTCTTCGACCAACAGCGTCTACGGTGGTATTGCCGACGATGACTTTGTTACTTGGCATGTCAGTGACCCTTTCGTCACGCTTGTGAAACTGCCCGGGCAGCATAATGCATCGACCACCTATGCACTAGGCGTTCTTACGGCAAATGCTCCACCCGGCTCGGACGACCGGCCGGCGGGGTTGGGGGGCCCACCGTGACAGAGAAGCTCATGGTTTTGACTAGGGGGCTCGTGGATGGGACAGGCGAATCGTCGAGTGGGAGGATCGGGTGCTGGATGTCCGCACGTACACCTCCCGTACAAAGCTCATAGTCGAGCTGGACCCAGACATGACCGATGCGCTAACATACGCGTTTACAATGGAGGGGTTTTCGGGCGCATGAGACACACTGGTTTTGACGACAGAGAAACTGCAAGGGTGGAACGCCTTGCCAACCCTTAAGACTACCTCCGGGAAGACCCTCCCTCTCCCTATACACGCTGATCTCATCCACAATCCCAACCAAACCAATCAGGCGGTCGAGGCTGGAGTGTCTTGGGAGGCCTCCTCGTCATGTATGAATGGAAAGACCCTTTTGCAAGTTCTGCCCCAAGGAGATCAACATCACGAGAATGCGGCCTCATATCGCGAGGCACATCCTTGAGAGGGTAGGTAGGGTGTGTAGAATGGCGTACGTAGTACTACATGAGGAAAGCATACAACATGCTCGCGCGTGTACGATATTGAAACGTACCTACGCTGGACTTGACGGGGAGGGGCATTTGTGGTATCTGTGGTCAAGACGACGGTTGCAACTCCTAGGTGAACACACGCCGAGTTGGAAAAGCAGCCCCACGGGTTTATTCCCGATGGCCTTTGGCTCCCAGATCCGCCAAGGACGAAGGTTCCTTCGTCTCGATAACCCTTAGCTCGGCAAAGAAGTCTACGAAGAACATGCCGTGTACCAATGTGCCGATGGAGTGCATATTCTGTAACCAATGGGAATGGAAATACTCTGTGAGTCGCAATGTTGACGAATTACACGCCGCCGATGCGAAACTGAGGAAGACCGACTCGATAGGTCGACAGTTTCTGGAGGATATTTTTGTGAGCGAAGACGCGAAGAAAGCTGTGGGCGTAATGCTCGAAAAGGGTATAAAACGAATGGGTGGAACCCTTGGTACACACAAAACCAAGGTGGAACTTCGTGGGAACACCACGGGGAGAACTGGGGCCAAACCCAAAGGTGGCAAAGGAAAAGGTCGACGGGACACCCGCAGCGAATCGAGCGACTCTTCCAGCGAGTCGAGCGATGAACAAGAAGAAGAAGAGGAGGATTGGGAGAGGAGAATGAGGAAGAAGACGAAGAAGAAGAAGAAGAAGAACGATCACGAGGAGGAGGAGGAGGGGTACATGAAGACGATGAGGACGAGGGAAAGAAGTCGGGGGTGAGGCGGCGGCGGGTGGTAGCGGCCACGGCACGTCAAACGAAGTTCTGTGTATAAGTAGTTCTGGTCGGAAAGCCACGAAGAAGAGGAAGTGGAAGGAAGGGTCGTCATCGGATGATGACTAGGAGCAAACAAGGGAGTGGAACGGCCGCCTAATTGGGGGCGGGGGAAGAGAGCAAGCTTGCGGTGAATTGCCTGAGCATGTATGTTCTATAGCCTCCTTCTGGCGTGACTGTGCCCCATAAAACATAACCGGACTCATTCCCAGGACTTTGCCGGGACTGGGAAAATATTGTGTTCTCGTCTTCACGTTAAAAGACGTCCCAGCCACCATCTGCCCATATCTAACGCTAGTCATGGTCGATTCCCGTAATCACAGGCAAACTCAAATAAAGCGGACCCGAAGTGCCCGCAAGCCAATAAAAATCGACGACAGATAAATATGTGTATGTTTAGTCTGGCGCAATTCGCCCCCCTCTGCGCGCAAGTGAGACAACGACGAAACCGGATGTCACAGCACGGGCCGGAGAAGCACAATGTTGGTACCCCTCCCTAGGCTAACGGCCGGCGGGGCGGTGTTCTGTACCGGGTTCTGGCCGGCCAGGTCGAGTTGGCAAACAATCTATTATTCGTCTTGATACCACCCACCTCTATCAATTGCCTCTATTTAACTCTACACACTCTACAAACATCTGCATTCCAGACCAACACACGTACAAACGAGAGTGATCGCTTCTACAATTTCCTACTGACCAGCCGGAGACATACGGCGGTAACAGGCTTCGAAACACAATAGATTGTTTGGAGAAAAATCATTTTGAAGTACTTTTTTGGGCCGGCTGTGGGGGTGGGGTG